TTTCAAGTTGCCGGGCACGGGTTTTCATCAGACGGAGTTCAGGGGTGAACCAGGGAGCAGAGTGGGTGAAGGAAACTGTTTTGGTTTTTATGGGTGCAAGTTGGTCAAGGCAGGAGGACAGAATGTTGTTGTAGTAGTCAGTGAGATCAGAGGGGCTATGGAGGTCCACAAAGGGAGTGGTGGATATTTTTTCAGAGAGGGAGGATGAGAGCGAGGTAGCTGAGACACAGCTTAATTTACGTAAATTGATTTTGCGTTGTTGCTCAGGTTAATCTCGCCCCCCGCCTCTGACGTAAGCGTGAAGTATTGGTTCTTGGTTCGGGAGTGGTTCAGTCTGTAGGGGATTGGACTTTGGACCGAAAGGTCGCCGGTTCATGTCCCCGATCGGACCAAAATATACGGAGTGTGGACTGGTACTAGAGAGGGGCCAGTTCACCTCCTGGGCCACTGCCGAAGTGCCCTTGAGCAAGGCACCTAACCCCCAACTGCTCACTGGCGCCGGCTAGACTGGCTGCCTCCACTCTGACCTCTCAACTGCATGCGCATGTGTGCATATAACTGTGTGTGTATATGTATGTGCATGTTCTAAAAAGTGTGTACTGTTTGATTAATAAAGGTCCATCTTCTTCTTCGTCTTGCCGTGCAGCCGAGAGGGGTCAGCTTAGAACTGGTTTTCGGTGCTTAGAGCCGGCCCCGCTATGGTGGAAACAGGAAGAACCAGAGCTAAATCAGGCTGTAGCCCGGAACTGTCTCTGGAACCGGTTTAGTGGAAAAGGGGCATAAGTGAGCTATACAGCAGGCCATTGAAGGCTACTTTTATATGGAAAATGTGTCAAATCAGTCAGCCTGGTGAAGACAGAGTGAAGACTGCTGCTGACAGAGTGATGATGGCAGGGACGACCAAGGCGGGGGTCAGAGTGGTCAAAAACAGACTGAACCACAATTTATCTAGATACAATCTTAATCTCTTCTACCCTGAACATTCAGCAAGATTAGCCTCAGATATGGAAAGTACAGAGTTGTGTGTGTGGCTTCGACCCAAACGATCCAAAACGACCGTCAGAAGACAGAGAGGAACCAGGACAGACTCTAAAGTTTAGCACAGTGAATCATGGTCAGAGAGTAAAGCAGGACACTCACATTGCACTGTTAGGAAGGCAGAGGCAGTTGGTGGTCGGCCCAGGCTGTTGCTAGGAGCACAGGTATATTTCCCAGAATCCTCAGGCTTGACTTGGGCAATGATGAGGGAACCGTCAATGAGAATACTGACTCTGCGCTTCAGGTCACTGTGAAAATGAAGTGAGAAAAAATGGATGTTAGGAAGAAATGTTTGTTATCTGATTGTAATCTGTCAGTGTGGAGAAAAACATTTAACAAACATTCAAGTCATATTACAAAAAAGATTTCAACAGATGTCTTCCACACAGAAGCTTTGGTGTTGTGTGATTAACCTTCCTAGTGCTGAACACAATTTAAACCTACATTTTCAGAATGAAATGGGAATATTAATGGATGGATAAACATGTATACTGTCACTGATGTATGGTTAAAGGCTGATGTGGACTGTATGTTTGTTCGGAGCCACATGTTCCCGTCCTTGGTGCTCATGTATGGTGGGTAAGGCTAATGCAATCTATATTTGTTTTTGCTCAAGCCAATGAAAAAGAAAGACATTTGTCATAAACAATGTGTCCCTGTAAACTATTTTATATGACTTGGCACAAAGTCTATTTTTCTAAATGAAGGAAGTCAATACATTTCAGTTCAATTATGTGTCCATCCAAATAAAAATATGAACGTTATCATACAATTTTTTATCATTTGAGAAATACAATTTAATATAAATAATTGTTGTATCCAATCAAAAGATATAATTTCATAACCATTTCTTTCTCATATAAAAATGTGAATCTTTTTAATAGATTACATCAATAATCTTCAATATACATTGGTATTTGTTAACTTGTTTATAACTTAATAAACATGACCTCATTTATATGTCATTTATTTATTCCCCAAAAGCAAAAACTCATTACAATACACATGTAAGGTTTATGGCTTTATTGATACCAATACCAACTTTGCCAGATGCAAAGACGTTAAATCTGTATAAAGCGCTCTGTGTTGAACTGAAGGATCACACAGATCTTGGCTCATGCTTGACTTGGCGTCATGCACAGTGCCTGCAGAGTTTCCAGCAACAAATTCAATCTCTAAAATCTATTTCTTTTAGCATGACACGAGTGAAGATTTAGCCAGGCAATATTGCTGTAGTACTTTGTATTGTTCCTATTTTGCCCTTCCAACTTCAAGAACACTAGATCAAATTTGGAGAGTTGTTGCCATCGGCAATATTGTTCAAACTAAAACCATTACACACATTAAAAAAGGGGCTTGGATCTACATCACCTGCCTTGTCAGTGTTGCAGAGAGACCAGAAGAGGTTTCTAAGAAGGATCTTTAGTTTTTTAAGGGAAGAGGATTAGGGCTAAAAGCAAGACACATTTTGATCATGGTAACTCAAACATTGCAAAAGTGTGAATATAGTTCCCTTCGTCAATAAAAAAACTACCTGAAGGAAAGTTCTCACGAAAAAGAAAGGAACAAATCCCAGGTGAGATATTATTCTCCACTACATCATGTCAAAGTAAAAACTTTTTTTTTGGCCATTAGCCGTGAGACCCGACAGATTCTGAGCCGCTGCAGAGCAACAACCATTTCCCCTTCAGGTAATGTTGATTAAATCATTTGTTCAGTCTATATTTGCTGAATTATTAAAGACACATAATAATATTTCTACTGTGTTGTTTGCTCCTTCTGCAGCTGTAGCACAGAAGGAGCAAACACTGTATCCCCATTCAAAATCAGAATTATCATCAAAATACAGTATGCTTAAAAATCTTAAAATGGCACTTATATACTTGAATTACTTTACCTTTTATGAAGGCGTATCAAATGCTTTTGCCTCACACATATCAGAGCCTGTGGAGTGTTTTCACAGCAGCGCAGCGTGCCAAAGGGCTTTGCAGGTGAATAAAGATCAGCAGGTTTAGAGGTTCTTAAACACTCTCAGACCGCCTAAACAGCTGAGCTAATCACAGCTAACTTGATAACAGAAGCTCAGTAAACTGAAAGCGCTACTTCAGGGAATGTGTGGATTTTTTCACAGTATTATTAAAATGATATACTAAAGAATACTTCAAAAATCTATTAAAAAATCTTATTACTAAATTGAAAAAGCTTGCAACATTCAATAAATGGAAACCATTAAAGATAAATGTAATGAATTAAATGACTTATAAAGCCATAATATCATTTTTGAAATAGAATATTTGTTAGTTGCACTGCAGCAATAACTGCGGTATTACAGTGTGTTCCTTTCACCAAACTGTCTGCAGACCACAATAACACATTCAGAACTTTACTTCTTGAAGAAGACGTTGTCCTCCTCCCAGAACCAGGTGTAGGTCAGGTTGCGAGGGTAGGCCTCCGCCTGGCAAGTGAAGAAGGCGTCCTGCGAGATGTTCACTGTGATGTTCTCAGGGGGGGACACGATGAAGGGAGGGCCTGGGGCAGGAAAACACAGAGGCAGTTGTCAAAAAGGGTTAAAAAACTCATCAAATAAATGAAATACAATATTTAGTCTAGCTGGTAATGCATTTTGTGCTAGGACAATGAAATTTGAAAAATAAGGAACAGGGGCTGTCACTTTTATTAAATATTCAACTACTTTGATTAAATTCTAGATAATGTAAAAAAAGAATATTCAATTCATAATCCTATTTTCAATTGGTTAAACTTTTGAATACACAAGATAAAGGAATCTATTCTGCTATCTTAAAATAGCTTGCTGTCCTAATGGGGAACATGGGGCAGTGTGACATTCACAAAGACGTCCCACAGATACAGCCTGACCCCTCTCAGTGGGACCGCCCCACTGCAAACACAACACAGTGATTAGTTACTTACTGGGCAGGGGTCATGCAGCCATGTGTACATAATGCACACACAAACACAGAATCAACACCGCTCTGCATCCTGTTAAGTGTCACTGCAGCCCCCAGAGTCATACCAAATACTTATTTTGCACTCAGTAAAGGGTTATTAGAATTATTGAGTGATCCTCGCTGTGCCAGACGGATCATCCTCCTTTGTAGGTGTGGATACTGTATATTTATACTCTGATACTGGATTTAAAGACATTTCCTAGCTGTGACCATAAATACGTCCATAAGCACGCTGAGTTTGAAAAGCAGCCTATCTTACCATCCTATACTTTCAGTTTATTGGCACACAATAGGTGTTTGGAGCATGCGAGCATATGTTTGAATACCGCCCAAAATATGTTATACTACACATGATGTTGGAGCTATATATCTCTTTATATTATTTACTAGTTTAACATTTATTTTCTTGCTGTTTTATAGTGTTTATTGTAAATGTATTCTTAGTTAGTCTCATAAGTTAAAGTAGTTTCTATGCTTTTATTTTGAAGGCATGTTTTGGGCACTGGGTGATTAGAGCACCTGGTGTAATTGTATATATTGGAGACAGGTGGAGGTGGGAGCCAGAGCACTAGTAGGCAAACGGTTTTTTACCAGGGTGTTTCAAGCCAGCAAAAGGAAAGCCATAGGAAAGGCTTAAGGAAAAGGGATATAGGAAACCTGTTCGTTGTATTTTGTTATCGGAATAAACTGCACAAATGGAGAATCTTGTCTGGACCTGGATCATTGCCCTGCGTAAGATCTGCTAACTAGTGCCTCAGCGGCTGTATTATTTTAAGTTAATTATCTGTTTTAGTTCTATATGATTTTGGCCGCTACACATGAGTATACAGATTAGGATAACTGAGCTGTTGGTAGTGAAAGATTAAGTGAGTTTGATCGTGTCAGCTCTGCGTTCTATGTGGATTTGTTTATTTTAATACAAAGATTTTCTGCCAAAAACAGACGATTCACTTTAAATCCAATTACAAAACAGGACGTTGATAGATGAATGTAAAGTGAGACAGAGAGGGAGAAAGTATCAATGGGCCAAATACCAAAGACCTCTATCTATGACCCCCTCAGTGGGCTGGAAAAGGTAAAAGAGAGTCTTTAAAGATTGTGCTGAACACTGGTAGCAAGATTGAAAACAAAGTAGTAATGCCACCAGACACTAAGTATACAGGCCTAGTAGATACTTGGTGATTGATGAATAAAGACTTTTGTTTCAGCACTTCAACTATGCTGCTCCGGGAGTGGATGAGATAAATTCAGTAAAGAAACAAGTTAAGACTATAAGAAAAAGTAAGGAGATTACCTACCATTCAGGGACACTGTGTTTTTCTTAATTAGATCATTTAAGTGAAAAAAAGTGTGCATTAATTAAAAAATAAATCATATTCTTATCTAAAACCTCTATTAAGTCTTTCTGTCTGGATGTACCCCCTTTACACTTATTATTTTAATTGCTTGTCTCTGGATTAGAAGATTTGAGACTCTTTCATTTACACTGTTGGCTGGCTACCTGTTCATGACAGAAACTAAGAGATATTGGTTTGAGAAAGGAATTTCCAGCGAACATTTAAATATTTCTACAGCAGTATAAAATGACAGCTATACAAATGAATCACATCTTTGATGAAAGAATACAAAATATTGTAAAAATGTAAAATACAATGATCACTTTGGTAGCAGATTTTCCTCTTTATGATCTCATTCTATGTTCATTAATGGTTTCAAGTTCATCATCCAACAAACCTACCCAATTTTGCTTGCTTTAGTTTACTTTATATAAGTTAAAGTTCTCTAGGAGAATGTACTTTTATGTTCAGTACAGTAAAAAAAAAACAATACAAAAAGCATTTCTATCTTCAACAAGGAAAACTGTCAGCTACTGATTAAACTAAGCAGTATACTTTGCCCTTCTCCTTAAAAACACTCAGTACTACACAGAACTTCAAATGAAAATCCTGCAGCCTGCATGAACGTTAAGTGAGACAGAATGTATAACTGCTGGTTAATAATAACCTTCAAACGTCACCACAGCACGCATTTATCCTCATACTGCTTCATTACTTTTGGTCCTCACAAGGATTGACCCATAATGCGGCCCTCACTAACACACACTGATACACTGCTAGCCCCATAGTACTGATCTGCAGCCCAGGGCCTGATCCTTTAGTGTGTGTGTGTGTGTGTGTGTGTGTGTGTGTGTGTGTGTGTGTGTGTGTGTGTGTGTGTGTGTGTGTGTGTGTGTGTGTGTGATTTGTACCCAGCTGAGTGCTGGAGATTTCTTGGCACTGTAGTCTCTTAGTTGATCTGCTGCTCAGTGGCTTTCCAAGAGCACTTCTAATAATCCGTCTCTCCCCTGAATGATAAAAGTCTGGCTCGGTGCGGTCTATGTTCCTAATCACTAAAGGAAACATGTGATCTCTTTGAACGTGTTAACTGTCTGTTCGATGACAAAGGGAAGCAACTAACATCCGAAAAACACAAAAACAGAGCGTTGGATTGATGGAAGCAAGCTTAAATTCATTCTTTGGAATAACGCTAAACACCAGAGTACATATTTCCTCCACCTCGACGTATCCTCTAAGCTCCAAACTCTATCTTCTTGCATACATGCCAACCTTTCCAAATCCAAAAGAGGTAGGTTTGCACGCAGCAAATGTGCACGCCCAAATGAGGTAATCAGAAGAAATGGAACCCCAGTAATTACATGTATAAACCATGTATTTAACATATATTGCATCATTTTATGCATTTTTCAGTAAAAGTGGTAGTTTGGTAAACAGTGACATCAACGACATGTCTGCTCTGTAAAATGCCAGAAAAGTAAAAGAATGGGAGATAAATATCCCAAAGTCTCCACATTTTATTATATTTTTAATGTGTTTCTGGTCCTCTTTCAGTTGAGTGTAGATCAAGGATGTGTCAGGGTGTAGAACTCTTGTGTGAACATTGGATAAAGCCAGGTTCATATTCTTGTTTCATGTTGATGACATAATAGAGTCAAAGGTTTTCACAGAGCGAAATATCTTTGTGTTGTGCGATATTTCAGAAAACACTGCATTAAAAAAGTAATTTCCTGCATTTTTCTGCTGATAAAGTGTGATATAAATAATGTACAGGCTTTCAGA